AAGTTTCATAGGAATTTACTATGAAAAAGAAATCTACTTAACATTCGTACTTCAGCATTTCTGTTAAGTTTCATTGTTTTCTGTGCAACTTGTTAGACAACTACAGAATCCAATTAGATTGCAACTTGACCCTAAAGTGTAATATATTATGATCAGCGTTTGAAAATCACCCACTCACTGGATATAAACATTTGGTCCTTTCAAAATATTTTTAACCATTATAGTCTCAACATACTAGCTGCAGAAAAAAAAGTCACTACAGAGCCAGTATGTGCATTAAATGTCATGGGTTAAACTAAAGATACAGAGAAAACAAATGAAGCAGTGATTCCTAAATTAGAACTGCATCATCTTGTAAAAAGTCATTGTTTATGCCAATATCTCCAGGTGTCAGCTGAATTATTAATGCAAAATCATTCTTTCACAATAACAGCATCTGGCAGATACTCTCTCTGTTTCTAAGAAGACTGAGTTTATGAAAGTGATGTCAGTGCAGGAAGCTTTTCTTATTTTTCTTTTGTATCTATTTGGTAATTTATTAAATGTAATTCAAACGGAATGATTTTCTAGAACTGACTTCTTTTAAGCTCAATAAGGAGCTCTGTTACATCACCCTGTATAAGAGGAGGTGAGTGCACTACTCCCGTGGTAGATGTATTCAGTTATTCCAGTGTTTGCAGAAGTAGTCTCTTAGTGATTACTAGCACAGGACATTTTGGAGTAGTATATTTCTTATTTAAACTAAGTAAATATTCATATATAATGGGACTACAAAACCAAAGTGTATTGGAAAACTAAGGAAGGCTGATCGAAGTACTGGAAAACTAAGAAAGGCTGATAGAAGTGTAAGACTATTAAATACATTTAGGAGATACTTAAGTTAATTGGGAACATGGTGATTTGAAAAAGAATTCTGAAATACTGAGTTTCTCTAATCATGATGTTAGAAACACCTGTCGGTTTACTCAGGATTTAAATCTTCATATATTATGGAGATCAAGCATTTTAAAAGATGATGCCGTTGTAACTTTCAAAGATACCCTGTCCCTGTAGACCTGTCTTTCTAGGTGGTACGTGTTGAAATTGTAAAGTATGAAACATTGCTTCTAACTTACATGTAAATTTTGAGTATATCCCTTAAAATCAATGAATTAACTGAAATGGCACCAAAGAGTTATCAGAGAGAAACCAGCTATATTTAACCTCAACCTAAGTGGTTACATTGCCTACAGTAACAAAAATCTCTTTTATGTTTCTTTCTAATTGCTTAAATTAATACAATTGTGTTCTTCTATGTTAAATTTCTAATTTATCACTTCTGATGTTGGAGCTGTATTTTATCAGGAGCTTTTTTCCCCTGATAGCTCAGTCATGTTTTAAATTATGCAGACTGCACTGCAGCTAAACAAATCATCCGTAACAGTAGTCACTTCACCTCACTGTGGCACCTTTCCCGTCTCCAAGTGTGCTGAAATCAGCCACAGCCATTAAAACATAGACAATAACAATAACTGCATTATTCATCTTCATCAAAGAAATTATTTAGATGGTAGTTGTTTTCACTTTAAAAGTAAATTATATTATTATAACTCCTAGTTGTAGCTCCAGAACTCTCAGAAATGGGATCACTCACAACACCTAGAACCATGACAGGATTTTAGTAGCAGCTTATTTTGTAACTCTTCAAACGCATTAAAATAATTATTGGACCATAAGTAGAAATTAGGATCCTGTATAATTCATGTCAAATAGCAGAATGTAGCCTTTCCTTCTTAAAATATATTAAAGAAAACTTCTCCTAACACAAGGAGAAAATGTATACTAAAGTACTTGTATATGTGTGTATATGTATCTAAATGCACACACATATGCAAAGCTTTTTGGATCTCAGCTCAAAAGTACATTATGTCATTTTTGAACCGAATTAGTGTACTCGGATTATATTTTAATCTAATATATGCCAGAAAAAATATTTTCTTTTTTATAAGGAGAACTAAAAAGTTACTTTGTCTATGAAGTTGAAGTCTTTAATTTATTATAGAAAAAAATTTGCTTAGCTTTATTCTTACAAAACAGTGCAGGAATGTAGTCATTTGTATCAGGAGAGAAGTGGGGATAAAGTAAGTGCGGGTATATTGAACTGAGATACCTTAAAGTATCTTAGCATTTTAAATACCTAGCTACAAGCTAATATTGAGATATGATAACAACAGATTCTCTGACTGAAACGTTGTGTATGTGTTTATAGGTCCTTTCAAGGGATTTTCCTGTCAGCGTTGTACATTCGGTAGATAACCTTTCCTTGCTAAATGCGTATTTTTTTTTTCTTTATTTAGCTGGTTGTTCTTTTTTTTTTTCAACTGGCACGTGTGAAAATCTAAACATCAAGGAGCTTCAAGTAGTCTAATGCTAGTTTACATAAGTACTAAAAAAAAAAAAAGTTTCTCTCTCAAGGAACAAATCGGTAGAGATTAGAGAAAAAATATGTAATGGAAAAATGAGTGTGGTGGGAATGCAAAAGACAAGACATGGGAAGATTGCAGAACTAAAGGTATTTTACAAGTTTTATGTGAAGCTAGACAAAGCACAGTGGGACATATTTCAAATGTGAAATTCAATCAGCAATTTCTTTTTTGATTGCAAACTGTACTCATTTGCATTGTAATTGGGAATTTTCAGTTAATTACCATGCTTAACTCTGAAAATAAAGATCACAATTCATAAACTTATTTGAAGAGTAAATTTTAAATTTGAATTTAACGCATGAAATTTCTGTGAGCAATATCTCATCAAGATCATTAGAATCTTGAATTTTATATGGATATCAAGTATAAATATCATCAATAATTAATGCTAAAAAATTTTGCCATGAATATCAAACTTCATGATGAAAATCTTATACCAGGCTCTTTCTGATAATGTTCAAAAGGCAGCAGTTGTGAACAGCCACAGTGCTGTACTCTGATAATCTTGTACTGTCTGCTTAAATATCTGCTCCTAACTCCTGTTGGAGACATTCACTGAATTAGATAGATCCCAAGCCTAACTGAGGATGACAGTTTAAGATGTTACATAGTTTTTACTGTTTTAAAAGAATGATGGCAAGGCACCTCCTCAGTATGGTTTTTTGGTTTGGTGGTTTGTTTTTTTTTTTGTAGTGTAATATTTTGGTGCATATTTTGAAAAGGAAGAAATATGTGTAGGCTAGCAAGTACTTCAGAAATTAGCTGTTTCGGTAATGGTAGATGGAATATCATTTGCAGCATTACCTCAGTATATGTCTGCTATGTTGGATTCTGAGCAATATCAAGAAGTCCGCTGCAAAACCTTCCAATTAAAGTTTGATTTCCAGCTACATCCAGGAGTAGCATCTTTGCCTATGAAGTTACATGGTGTCTCAAGAGTTACCGTAAAAGATTTATATCCAGTTTGATTACTTTGAAGAATCCTGGGTTTTGTACAGAATACAATGCTGCTTGTTATACAGTACACCCTATCTGCTCTGAAACATTTTTTGCAGCATAGTAATAAATGAATTTTTTTTTTTTTTTTTTTTTTAGATTCATAACCAATACCCAACAGAGTTTGAGTTCAATCAATATTATCTGAAGTTTCTGGCTTTTCATCACATATCAAATCGATTTAAAACATTTCTTCTGGATTCGGACTACGAACGACTGGAACATGGTATGTGTGATGTTTGTTTATTGCATATTGGTTTTGTGGTTGTTGGTATTTTTCTCGTCAATATTTGGTCTACAAAAATTTGCCTAGGTTGAGATGGTCCAGTAATTGCATGGTGATGATGTAATGAATTCCATTTCAGGAATATAAAGCAAAATGGAGGTGAAGAACATGTAGAATTTTCTGAATGAATGATTCCTGAGCCACGCCACTGATGGTACTAAGAGAAAGTGGAAGAAATTAGTGCTGTGCCTCAGGGTTATTTAGCAATTTATCCACATGCTTCAGTTTCCTCTACTAAATACCTTATTTTAACACAAAGTCCTTGGGAATCCCTCAGAGAGTACATGAGGTTTCAGAAAGGAAAGCCTTTCCATCTATTATCTCTCACTTCTTTCTCTTACATTCTCTTCAGTGTTTCTCTTCTCTTATATTTCCTTTTTACTCCATCTAACGTGTGCAACCTTACTGGTTCCAAGGCCTTATCTACACTCAGAGCCTTCTTAATAAGACTACACAGCCACAGTTGAGGCTGTTCTTGGAACTTGTTCACCAAGCAAAACACTAATGTGCTCTGAATTTCACTGCTTTGCGGGGTGGTTCTCATGGCATACGGTCAATTTGAATGCTTTTCTTAAAAACTGTAGTAACTGCGGAACAGACTACATTTGAGCAACCATTTTATTTCCATAACAAAAAAGTTAATTTTCATTATTTACCTTCATTTGAACAAAAAAAGGGAGTTGGAATCAATGACCTCCTGTGGTTCCTTCTAACCTGGATTGTTACATAGTACTACAATTCGGGGGTGCATTGTTTTTTTATTTAGGGATAGTTTGCTTTCAAATACTATTTAATGCTATATAAAATCCTGTTTCCCGTAGTCTTTGGATAAGCTATATGTCCTTCCAAAGTCATTTCAGATAGCAGAAATCTATGGCTAACTTATTTACATTAGCCTGATTTGTTTTCCCTGAAATGAGTTAGCAAGTAATTGCAGGTACAGTTGGTTCAGCAGAGGAAGGGCTGGTAACCTTGGGTAGTGGGTGGCAGAATCAGTTAGCAGGGCTTGGTGGTCTGCTGAGTCAGCATGCCTGCAGGCAGAAAGGGACATTCATAAATACACTCAAGTATTTAAGTAAATTTCAGGCCAGGTTTATAAATATAATGCTACTGAATAGTTGCAGTTGCAAAGTACAGCGGTTGTTTCATCAAATACAGTCTCTTGTTGCGGTGGCATTTGATAGTAGGTTTTACTGTACATTTAGTTTGTGAAATCCGTTTGGCTATGCTTTAGTGTTTGTTATGTATCATCATAAAGCTATCTTTTTGCTGCTATGATTTTCCCTAGGGACATTGTTTGAAGATAAAGGAGATAAACATGCCAAAAAAGGAATTTGTATTTGGGAATGTATTGAAAAGATGCACAAAAGGAGCCCTATTTTCTTCAATTACCTCTATGCCCCTGCTGAAATAGAGGTATGATTTAAAAAAAAAAAAAAAAAAAAGCTGGTTTGTTATTCTGAGTGATTCCTTGAGTACATTTCGATATCTTAATTATTCTCAACTGAATTAAGCATTTGGTGGACAAAGTTGACCCACCGTGATTGATTGCTTTGGCAGTGAGCTTCACCCTGATAAATCATTTGTTTGCATGTCTGTCCACTGCTGGTGGCCAGAAAACATAATGACGGGACACTCTCCACTGTCTCAGAGGCCATGGCACCACTGATATTTTTGTTGGTGTTTCTTGGTTTTCCTTTTTCCTCAAGTCGTTTCACCGCGCTGTGTCTTAGCATACATAGCACCTTGCACTCAAATCTGCTATATAAATTGACCTAATGTAAAAAAAAAAGAGAGGAAAAAAGATTATTTTCTTTAAGGTATTTTGAATCTGTATCAGATCGTTATTGCAGTGAACAGTGCAGCCCCCTTCAACCCACACACACACATGCTTACACTCGCCTGATAAAGCGGTGGTGCAAAAGGCAGGAGGAAGAAAACAAGAGGGTGACATTCTGTAGATAGAAAGTGCTTCAGCTGTCTTTGTTTTAGAGAAACACCTGTTTTCTCTGTAGAACCATCACTGTGATGAATTTGGAGCTTGACGGGCTGCTCGTTCACTGTATGTTCTATCCATAGTAAGCAATCAGGAGTAGCTTTCAATATTTTGGTAGTGTTTTCTTTCTCTTTTTTAGAATAAACTTTTTCCTCATATGAAATGCTGTCATAGTAGCAGAATTAGTCATAATAGTAGAATCAGTCATGATGACTGAGCAAGACTCTTCAGACTTTAGAATTGCCCATTCACCTGAGGCAGTAATTCCCTTCAAGTAAGATGCATGCAAACTGAAAGTCTTACCTTATTTTTTAAAAGAAAAAAAAACATTTTTAATAGGAAGTGATCTGTTTCAAACTACTCTAAAAGGTCTACAGTCTCTGGCTGCCTACTTTATATTACTGTGGTTTTTCCAAGTGGCATATCCACCTACGTTATACAGCCTGTCTCTTTTCTGTGATGGTCAAGAGTCTAAAGAGTAATTGCTATCAAGTGCCTTTTGTATCTTTAACAGGAGGCACAAAGACCATGAGGGTACCAACTACATATGCTGAATTAGAGTTCTTGGTAGGCACCTGGTTTAGCACAAGCATAAGAATGAGCAGTATATTCCCAAAGCTAGTATTAGTTTTAGGTTTTGATCTGACTGAGCCAAGTTCTTGCTGTGGAAATTATCAAACTGCAGCACTACTCACACAGTGCAATATACTGTTCAATTTAGAATAATCTAGAAAATATAAGTATTGTATTATATTGTAAGTCTGAAACACAAAGATTTCCTTTCTGTCATTACAATAAAACTTTGTTTCAAATAGGCATTGAAACCAAATGTAAATATCTCCAGCCTCAAGAAGTGGGATTATTATGTAGAAGAGGTTTTGGCTACAGGTCCTTCCTATGATTGGACCATGGTAATGGCAAAATGCAGTGTTTCAGAGGAAACTGACCAAACGGATGGTTCGCTCTCTCAGACTAAGAGGAAAATAGTATGGCCATGTTATGACGATGTTAAAAAAATACAACCTGATGCCATCAGCAGCCTTTTAAATGTAAGTACATGTGTTACACAGAACAATAAGTTCTCTTATGTGCATGAAATTCATATTTACTTTTTATTTAAATTATTGCCTTATAGATATACTGTTGTTAAAAAGGTCATGATAGATGTCAAAACAGGTGTTTAGTAAAACTGACTGATTGATCTTGAGTAGTGATGGTTGGTCTGGGAATCAGTCAGACTTCCTGCAAAGCTTATGTTGTTCTGAACAGACACTTTTCTAGGTGTACACTTTAATAGTAGTTAATGACTATGAAAAAGCCAGTCATGGATTCATTTTTTCAGTCTTTTTTAAATAATAAGGTAGGTAGCATAATAAATTTTTATGTTGCCTTTTTATAAGAAATGCAGGAACTGTTACTTTAATTTGGGCAAATGTTGAGTCTAGCTTTCTTGTCCTCTTTCTACTCAGTTTAAAGTAGGTGTGTGGTAAAATGACAAAGACCCAGATTTCCAGACAGATCAGAAAACAGAATCTGACACTTGTTGATTTTAACAAGTGAGCGGCAGATACACAAACATAAACTGAACATCTTGGCCCAGATTTCTCACAAAAGCTTTCCATGATTGCTTTTAGTTTATTCATGTTTACAAGGACCGAACTGGTAAATTTAGATTCTTCAGAATGTTTTGGTACTTGAAATAGATGCTTGATTTTGGCTTTTTCTTGTTTGGGCTCATGTAGGCTGCTTAGATTTTGTCCTTTCTTCATTAGAGTAAAAAGAATTCCGTTCTCATGATAATTGTTGTAGTTATTTTTAATGATTTAACATCTGTATTTTCTTAAGTGTTTGTTGGTTGATTATAATTAATTAACAGTCCTAATATTATAATTAATTAACAGTCCTAATATTTAGGTTATCATCTTAATTGATAGCACAGGAAAATGACAAGGGCATTCTTCACTTCCTGGAGCTATTGTTTCAAGCCACATACATATTCAGATACACATCATTATGTACAGCTTTTTATTTTGAAAACTATTTGCAGACTTCACCTTATATTAAAGCTGGGATTATGGAGCCTAATATTGCAATGCTTGGAAAACTGGGATATGCTGTGGGTCCCTGAACTCCCCTGAATCAAAGATGATTTTAGCAAAGTCTTAAGACAGGAAGTTTCTGAATGGATTTGAGTCCTTGAGGATAAACTTGCTTTTGCTGGAGAGTTAGCTTTATTCTGGCACATTCCTCAAATTTCTTTTTGTCCAGTCCTTCCAATCATAATTGATCAAACACATAAACAATGCCCAATTAAAAAAAAAAATCACTTGTAAAACTCCCCTTGACTCACAATAAGATAGGCAGAACTTCTCAGAGCTTATAACTTCACAAATGCAAAGAAAGAGCAGTCTCTCAGCAGGGGTCATATCAGGGATTCTTTAGCAAAAAACCAGAAGGCTTTCGTATCAGGTAACCAGAGGCCAGAAGTACATCAGGAATATAGCAACATTGTTGTTCTGCATTTCTTCCTGGGGTAGATGCCAAACTATCTATATCCGCAACTGTGAGAAACTGCCGTATAACAGGGAAATTAGCCATATTATATTCTAAAGATATGTGGGTCAGGTTTTATAGAGTTTAAATGTTATTTGTGAATTAGATTATAGTAATAAAAGATAGCAACGGAGAGGAACATTTGGAAAACTTTGAAGAGGTTGTATAAAGGTTACGAAAATATTCTTCTAAGTTTAAAAAGCAAAGTGAACTTTCTTTTAAAACAAGTTGTTAATTTAGGGCTATTGCTGATGTAGGAGAAAGACCTCTCTTTAATCATAAATCCGTTGAGAATGTGTTGGTATCCAAAAAATGTTTGAATTGAGACCATATTTAGCAATGGTAAATTACTAGGGAAGATTGATTCTCCCTTAGTTTATAATGATAAGCCCAAATTTGTTTGTTCTAAAGATATTTTTCAATTGAAAACTAGATAGTGCTCTTCAGGATGTAAAGCTGAAACAGAGAAGTTATTGAGTGTCTTAATTCAGAATTTTCTTTGGTAGAATGTGGTGCTTTTCTGTTAAGAGCAAAAGGGGTAATTTTTTAGCAGTAAATGTTCTAATGTGTTTTGGGTACGTAACAATCCACCTCTCACCAGACGTGTGTGATGGCTCTATGGTTTCCATAAATTCTTATGTTTATGAGTTGTAGGAAGTTAACCAATCTGCACATTTCATTCATTTAGTCCTAAATGAATTCTTTTAAAGATTGCAGATGATAAACTGCATTTCAAAATACGGATTTCTGTATAAAGCTTCTCAATTCACTTCTACCACATCAGAGGCAGCCAACAAATAGGAGCTAGGTTGTTCAAATCTTAAATTCTCACAAGTGTACTTTGGAGACATAAATGTTCAAAAGCAGATCCAAACAGAGGTGCTTACCTTTAAGATCATTTTCTGATGGCCTTTCTGCATGATAGAAATCAGAAACAAGGTGCCAATAGTAAGAGTAGCTACCCATCCATTTTTTAAAGAAAATGAAAGGTAATTGTGAAACAGCACACCTATGCCTCTATTTTCTCTTTCAGAGATTAGTTGCAAATAGTTTTAAAGATAATTTCTCCATTTAAAAAAGATAGATTTCTCCACAAAGCTCAAAAACAACTTATTTGACAGGAACTTTGAGGTTCTTGCTGCTTTTTTTTTTTTTTTTTTGTAAGCATTTGCTTTCCTTGCTTGTAACATTCAATAAGATAATGCCACAGTGTAGCACATCCAAGAGCCATGTCTTCAGTACAGGCTAAAGTTCTGGGTTAAATGTTTCCCATAAAGACTAGCTCTTCAAATGATCCTTTGACATGAGTATGTTGTGATATATTATAAATGAGCTAACTTACCTGAGTGATGTTCAACAAAGGGAAGTGCAAAGTCCTGCACCTGGGGAGAAACAACCCCATGCACCAATGTATGCTGGGGGCGCCCAGCTGGAAAACAGCTTTGCAGAAAGGGCTCTGGAGGTCCTGGGGAACAGCAAGCTGACCATGAGCCAACAACGTGCCCTTGCAGCAACGACGTGATCCTTCCCCTCTATCCAGCCCTGCTAAGGCCAAACCTGGAGTACTATACCCAGTTCTGGGCTCCCTGGTACAAGAGAGAGGTGGGGCTACTGGAGAGAGTCCAGCAAATGGCCACCAAGTTGATTAAGGGACTGGAGTATCGCTCCTGTGAGGAAAGGCTGAGAAAGCTGGGACTGTTTAGCCTGCCAAAGAAAAGGCTCAGGGGGAATCTTATCAATGTATATAGTTATCTGAAGAGAAGGTGTAAAGAAGATGGAGCCAAACTCTTTTCAGTGGTGCCCCGTGACAGGACCAGAGGCAGTGGGCACAAACTGAAACACAGGAGATTCCATCTGAACATCAGGACACACTTTTTCACTGCGAGGGTGACTGAGCACTGCCACAGGTTGCCCAGAGAAGTTGTGGAGTCTCCATTCTTGGAGATACTCAGAAGCCATCTGGACACAGTCCTGGGCAACTGGTTCTAGGTGGCAGGAGGGTTGGGCCAGATGACCTCCAGAGGTCACTTCCAACCTCAACCATTCTATGATATATGCCTGGTTGATGGTTTTATTAGAGGTAGTAATCTACCTATATTTCAGTGAAAATGCAAGTCAAATCCTTGAGGGCAGACATATCTCCACTGTTTCCCACTAATTTGCTAACATTCCTAAAAATGTATGCAGTCGCCATAATTCATTGGGAGTGGCTGAGATTCCGGTACTGAGAGATGACCCTACATGTCCTATTCTTACAAATAAGCAGTTACATCATGTAACATTAGATGATGATTGCTCAGAAGGAGGTTGGCAAACTCAACGATGCCACGTCAGGATGCCAGTCACCCAAATTAATTCTGCCATAAATATACTCTGTAAAGAACTAAAGATATATAAGGGGTCAATGAATAACCAGCAAAACAATAAAAATAGCACTGATTGTGAGCTGTTTTGTAGCTTTTGGTTATGTGCCAAAAAGGCTGATCCATCAAAGTGGACCCTGAACCAAAAAGTTTATTCCAAATATTGAACAACCAGTCATGTACAACCTGTTGCGCACACAAGTCTGAACACTTGACAGAGGCAGCAGTTCGATCACTGGATACACATCCAGCATCTTTCCATTTGTAGTCAAAGTCTCAGAAGCCTTCTAGCCAGGAGTTGAAGAGAAAATACTAACAAGGAAGGACTTCCAAAACAGGGTGCTCTGTCACAGTCAAGACAGTTCACTAGTGTAAGACTTTGTCCAGATTGTTCTGTGTGTGCACAAACGCATTGTGGATACAAAGGAGGTGATCAGTCTCCACAGTTCTGGAGTGTCTGCAGAGTTAACTCCTGTCTGTACCATTTGAATATTTTTTACAAAGCAGATTACTTAGCAGACACATCTTTTGAAAGTCACAGTAATGCTAATTGCTTGTAATTACTAATTTCAGTAAATGGATATTCATACAATTGTATTTCTTATAGCCTTTCTTTTTATACGTATTGACTTCTGCTCCCCTACGTCTAGGCAACAGGAGATGAACCAGAAAGATAAATCTAAGGTATTTTTCTTTCAAGGAAATGCAGCTATTCATAGTCCATTCCACACATGGAAGGAAAAAAAATCTGACGTTTTCAGTAAAATTTAAAACTGAAGGGGCAAGAGTAAATCTTAGTGATGTATTGCCATGTAAGTTTTTTACATGGGGTTTATTAAAGGAGAATTTATTCCTAACTTTTCACGTTATATATAGGAGACTGTTGAAAGTTTTTCATTTTAAGTTCTGGAAGCACTACTCGTTGTGGAGCCAAAAAAGAAGGAATGTGACCCAGTTGCTAAGTAACAAGTTTCAGTTACTTGCAGATTCTGCAGAGAAAGACTCATACTCAGAAGTCAAGACTAGGGCAGAAAGAGAATGATCAGATTAAAACCTGACTAGCTTCTAGCACTGAAGAGCATGTATCCTTTTGCAGCAATTTGGAAAGCCTTTTACGTAAAAAGGCTGTGGTAAATTGATTCAGCCGTATGTATCCCATCAGGAAACGTTTTACACTCAGCACTTTGAAAGAGGAACAAGTAATCTAAAGAAGCCTTTAGTCTGGCTTGTGTTCACTATTCCTTATTTTTGTATCTATCTATGAAGATACTCCAAACAAAATTATTCTGGTTTTATTTCTTGGCAGGAGGAGAGTCCCATAATATTTAATGTATATGTTGCTTTCAACTACCTTCAGTATTTAAAACTTCTGGTTTGATTCTTGCTGTTAAGCCAGATTTCTTATCTTTAGTTTTACTTTTGAGTTTTCTAATTTACCTTCAGCAAGGAAGAGTTTGTAGAAATATTTTGCTCCTATTAACACTGTCAAATACTGGCTTTTTTATTTTCACTTCAGAGTTCAAAATTTAGTTCAGGAGTTAATTTCCTGGTCAAAATGTTTTCTTACCTTAAAAATATAGTCATTTTCTGTAAGTGTTTCAATCAATAACAATTTCCTGAAGAAACTGTCATTCTGAAAGACCAATAGGAGTTAGAGAATATTCTGAAATCTACTTTAATCATTTGGTATAGTAGAAGTAAATAAAGTCAGAGACTTACTGTCTCTACTTTGAAAATAAATGTCTTGGGTTTTAGTTGACTTTTATATAGCATGGGAATTCTCTGTCCTATGGCAATTTTGTGTTTCATCATCAATTCTTAATTGGATTTGCAAAATTGAGTTTTTAATTTGATTTCGTTAAGAATCAGATTTTCATAACAATATAGTTGTTGAAAGTAAACATAAAGGAAGCGTGGCAAGGAATATGGAATAGCACATCAAAGTAATGACAACGGTATTGATGAGTGTTCATAAGTAAACATAAACTAATGAAAATGCCTCTTTTTACTTAACTTTGCATGCACTGTCTTATTAGCAGGAAATCACCCTAACTGGAGGTTATCGACATAGGTCATATTCCCAAGTTCCACAACAAGAACATGTTGTTACAGTTTGGCATCCAAACTGAATAAATCTTTCTGTTTCATTTCCGTCTTTTATTACAGCTTTGTATCACATTTTATAAACCAGGGTAAATGTTAATATTGGCAACGTACAATGTTGGTGTCACAGCACAGAATTTGTTCTTCGTAAATATTTTTGTAAAATATAGCCTGTCCTTATCACTGTCATGTTTCTATTGTGGCAATTGGTATTGAATTTTGTGCATTCAGGAGAACAGGCAGAGAACTGAAAGCGCAATGGCTCCTCCAGCCTGTGATATGCAAGAAGAATGATGTGGCTGATGCTGTACTTGGTTGCCTTTGAGTCCTCAGTCTGGTTGATTTCAGTTTATAGGTGGTTTGACAGAGGTTTTTGTACTTTACTGGGCAACATGGCCTAAAAGTGTCCTGTGTAAAAAAATTGACCAGAAAATGGTTGTATAAAAATGATTGCCAGGAAGTGATGAGCTCAAAATGTTTATCCTTAAGAAAACCCTTGGTATTCATTTCAGGAAATCGAAAGGTTGGAAAGTAAATTAAATCAGAGCCCAGAAAGGCAGCAGCTTTTGTGGAAAAAAGGCTACCTGGGGCACTGACAAAATCACTGTATTTCTTGGAGTAAAATACTGCTTTTGAAAAATGGAATATGTTGTTCTAACCAATGACACTGGCTCTGTATTTCTGCATGTAGAAAGGTATATTTATACTTGTGCTATTTATCTAATTGCTTTTCTAGAGTAGATTAAGGCATACAGACTAAATGAGCATGAGCATTTTACTAATACACAAATATATGACTTTATATATTTAAAAGATTCTTGAAGTACAAAAAAACTCAGTTCCTGAAAGTAGCCAAAAGGACATCACAGAGTTCCAGAGATGAGTAAAGATATTTCCATGTCTAAATGGAATTTTGGAATTGTAGATTCTAGTAAAGGTAGGAAGTGTTCATGCTTGTGTTTCCAGTTCTTGACTGTGGTAAAGAGAATAGCTGACAATATAGATATTTTCTAAGTCAAAGGCTGCCCCTTTGCTCTCTGCATGCACTAGGAAGAATGTTAGATACTGCTTTTTGTGAGCTTTCCCTATAAACTTGGCGCAGTGAGTTACCAGCTCGAGACTGTACCCTAACTCTTCAGCTTCATGTGCTTGTTCAAATTTGCCAGCCTCCATGCAATGGTTAGTCGCAGCACTACTTTGTTATTTGTCCTTTGCTCTCAGGAGAGAAATATGCTTTATGTCTGTCAGAGTCATTCAAGTTCACTTTATACCCTAGACAAATTCAAGATGAAAAAAGTTTTATCCTAGCAAAGCAGAGGATTTTTTTATTGAATTGTAAGCAGAAAAGAAAATGCAAGTATAAATATACCTGATATCAGTCTCGTGTCCTAGCTGTTGTTTAAGGATTCTCAGATAAATGCAATAGCTAAGGATCAACCCCAAAGAACTCTGTCTCTAGGATGCTGTCATTTAGATTAAGACCAAATTCAGGATCCCTCTTGTTCCAGGTTATTGAGATTCTACTAAAATTATTTGGATATATAAAGTAACTCTTGGAAACTGCGCTCTTTTTCCTTCTCTCCCTTCCTTCCCTTCCTTTCCCTTCCTTCCCTGTGAAATTAGGGAAATTTAATGCATCCAAATGTCTGACTAGTTCTAGATACTTCTGAGAAAGCAAGGGAAACATTGTTCAAGATTATATCACTGGAATATACAAGGCTTTTCTGAAATACTGATTTTTCACACCATGTGAACCCTTCTGCTTAAGAAATTCATTGAATTGCCATCCCTCTGACTTCTTTTCTGAGGCAGCACTGACTTGTATTATGAAGATTTTTTTGGCCTCATAATAATTCACAGTTTACGTGTTGTACCATGTATTATCAGTATAATGTTGAGACAGTCTCACAATACTAGACACATTGCATTACCTTTTTTCTTTTATTTTCATCTTTTTTAGCTCCGGAAACATCCTTCTGGCTCCTCAGGGATGATGTCAGCTAATCTACATTCCTATCAAAAGAGGTCTTTGTTGGAAATACCTGACAGTGGGCTGGGTGAGGAACAGAGTGCAAGCATCTCTCCCTCTAATGGAGTAGACAGAAGAACAACTACGCTATACAATCATTTCACATCAAAGAATGATGAAAATAGGTAAACTGAACAATCACAGAGTATTTATGAACCTCATATTAGATTGGTACAAGTCTCTGCCTTAGGAAAAAAAGAAAAAAATATTTTCATATGCACAGAATGCTTTGTGACTACTTTATTCCTTCTTTGTGGTTTTGATTACATTTAGTTCTCTTGATGGATGGGCCTCTATCTCCTAGCAGTATCTTTCAGTCTTCCCCTTTACATGCACAACCAAATTGTAGCTGCACATTTAATGCATACAAAGTACTGAAACAGTGTTTATCAATGTATCACAGTTATAAATAACTAAACTATCAGTTTAAAACTGATCTGTTTTACTGCAGTAAAAGAAGTGTTTGAATATGTATGTAGTCATTTTGGGGCTTTTATATGTCACCAGCATTCATATTATGGTATCATGCGCCGTTTGTATTTTCTATACCTTTCAGATCTTTTGAAGGTACGCTATACAAAAGAGGAGCTTTACTAAAAGGTTGGAAACCTCGCTGGTTTGTGCTGGATGTGACAAAACACCAGGTAAAGCCTTTTCAGATAATGGATGTTTTTGTCTAGTTTGCTGCTTTTTTATTTACTGGATTTGTATAGAAGTTTTTATAGATGTATACATTTTCAGATGTGAGGTGTGTGTTACGTCATTATAGACCATATATCTATGTTTATCTTTTGTATCTTGTAGCTGATACAGCATTCTGAATGGACAGAGGGCTTTTAGTATTTTGGGTTTTTTTAAAACAGTGATAACTGCTTAGCATATAATCATAAAAGCCTTCTTGGACTGGAAGTCATGCATTATTGTTTGAGCCCAAACATTTTTGCCTGCTTCATACCTTGGGAAAAAAAAGCCAGGTAGTGCCTGAGGATATTTTCTGGGCATTGTGGAATACAAGCGATTTTTTTTAAAGCACCGCTAACTCTAGAATGTCATTAAGCAATTAAGTGGTGAGCATAATTTGCCCTTTAATATGACCTCTGTAGTTTCCAAAAGAACTAAAAACTCTTTCTGAACTAGAGAGTGAAAAACTTAGAAGGTATTTCCTAGAGTGCAGCTGGCATGCTGAGAGCCAATATGGTAACTGATAGCAAGTTTATTTCAGGCATTCATGTTGTTGAAACTGTAGTAGTTACTGTATGCTTGGTGTGTATTTTACAGCCTCTTTGTTCCTCAAGCACTTTGCCGTGAGCGTTTTTCTTTGCAAATGAAAGGGCATGATATACTGTGGAAAATCATAATCTGAATTGCTTCAGCAGAAAAATCCATTTACCTCACTTGACTTTTTAGTGGTTTTCTGTAACCTATATTTGAGAAAGCTGACCTGGAATCTCTGTATGAAAGTCTTTTCAAATATGGAGAACAGGATCACAGATCACTCTGAAATGAGTTTGAATTTTGTAAATGGCTTAAAATGAGTTAAAATGTCATCTCAAATCTGTATTTCTAAAAGTCCTGAAATGCCAAGTTCCTGAATGAACAATAATTTCAGGTGCCGTATATAGGAGTATTTTAGATTAGTCATAGTGATGTAAACTTAGTAGCCAAAGTGTTCATAAATATTCTGACAAATCATTGTACAGCAAGGAACACTGAAAACAGAGGAGATCCTTTGGTCTACACATCTTACACAATTTACAATGTATGCTGGAATTCTGCAGTGGAAATTTGTGGTCTCATGTACTTTTAATAATGGTGGGTCATCAGGCACTAATCTGCATTGAGCCAAACATTCCACACGGTGTGGGGTTGTAACCTCTGAGGCTCATGTATGCTTTTGTTTAAAAATATTAATTTATTGTAATCAATACACTTAACAAATATGTAATATAGATAAAGACAGTCATCTTTTAAAATGCTAATTGAGGATTTCTCGATTAGTGTCATAAAATACCAACAAATGTGCTGATGATAATTATTCTGCCTGATATACAGGAGAAAAGGTTCATTTTGCAGAAGGAAAAAATACTTTAACATTTTTGTATATCCAAATATCCTCCTGAGTATCATAGATGTAGGAGTAATATAGGTCAGTCTTAGTTGGAATTCTGTTGTTTGACCTTTGCTATGAAGGTTTTCTTTACTATTTTGCATTGTGTTATGGGATTTTGGAGGTCTTCTTTTTTTTTTTTTTTTTTTTTTTTTTTTTAAAAAAAAAAACATCTTTTTTTCTTTGTTTCTCTTTTT